TTCATGCTTTTTTGTTTTTCTTATGTTTTCTAGATGGATAATTTTATCATTGTTCTGTTTTTCCCTATACTTTTTTCTAATGTTTGTACTTACTAATCATTTAGTGGTACTTTAGAAATTATAACATATATAATTAATTTGCCCATATATGAAATTAATTTCCCCCAGTAATATCAGGATTTACAGCAATTTCATTCCATTTACTCTTACTCTTGACCTAATATTGTGAATTTTCATTCTGCAATTTTTTTCCTTTATACTTTTATGTAATTTTTCTTAAACTACATGAATGGTTGTTCTGCAATTTTTAACATCCCAAAACAAGATCACTTTATATAGTCAACGTGCATTTAGTTTTGTCCACATATTTAGGTTGTGTTTAAATTTCCTTTTTTTCCTTTTTTTCTTACCTTTCACATCTGTTCTATTAAACTACTTTCTCTATGCATAAAGTACACCTTTTAATTTTTTATAATTTTTATTTCAAAATATTAGAGGGTTCAGATGTTCTTGTTACATGGATGAATTGTATAATGCTGAACTCAGAGCTTTTTGTGTGCCTGTCACCAGAATAGTGTACATAGTACCCAATAGGTAAGTTTTTATCCCTCACCGCCTCCTCCACCTTCCTAGTTTCCAAGGTCCTTTAAATCACTTTATGACCATGTGTACTCATCATTTAGCTCCCACTATTTAATGAGAACAGGTGGTGCTTGTTTTTCCATTCCTGAGGTACTTCACACAGGATAATTCTCCAGTTCCATCCAAGTTGTTGCAAATGACATTATTTCATTCATTTTTATAGACTAACAGTGCTCCATGGTATGTGTGTGTGTGTGTGTGTGTGTGTGTGTGTGTGTGTGTGTGTGTATACTATGTTTTTTTATCCACTCATCAACTGATGGGTGCTCAGGTTGATTCCAAATCTTTGCAATTGTGAATTGTAATGTGATAAACATTCAGGTATAGGGGGCTTTTTGATATAATGACATCTTTCCCTTTGGGTAAATACCCAGTAGTGGGAATTTGCTGGATCAAATGGTAAGTCAACTTTTAAGTCTTTGTGGAATCTCCATACTGCTTTTCATGGAGGTTATACTAATTTACAGTCCCACCAATAGCGTATAAGAGCTCCTTTTTCATCACATCCACACCAACATTTAATGTTTTTATATTTTTAATATTGGCCAATCTGATAGGGGTAAGGTAGTATATTATTGTGGTTTTAATTCTTATTTGCCTGACGATTAGTGATGTTGAGCATTTTTCATATGACCATTTGCCCTTTTTATATCTTCTTCTGAAAAAACAGTGTCTTTTGCCCTATTTTTAGAGGGGTTATTTGTCTTTGTTGTCGATTATTTGTTTGACTTTTTTGTAGATTCTGGATATTAACCCTGAGTTAGATGTATAATATGTGGATATTTTCTCCCATTCTGTAGGTTTTTCTATTTACCCTATTGATTGTTTCCTTTGCTATGCAGAAAGTTTTAAATTTAATTACGTCCTGTCTATTTATTTTTGTTGTTGTCGTATTTGCCTTTGTGATCTTAGTCATAAATTTTTGTCAAAGCCAATGTCTAGAAGAGTTTTTACTATGATTCCTTCCAGAATTTTTGTGGCTTCAGGTCTTACATTTAAATATTTAATCCATCTTGCATAAATACTTGTAAGTGGTGAGAGGTAGACATCCTGTTTCATTCTCCTGCATGTGGCTATCCAATTTTCCCAGTACCATTTACTGAATATGGCATCCTTTCCCCAATGTATAGTTTTAATCTTCTTTGTCAAAAATCAGTTGGTCATATCTATATGGTTTTATTTCTGAATTCACTATTTGGTTCCACTGGTATCTGTATCTACCTTTGTAGGAGTATCATGGCAGTTTGGTTACTATATCCTTGTAGTATAATTTGAAGGCAGGTAATATGATGCCTCCAAATTTATTCTTTTTATTTAAGATTTCTTTGGTTATTTGGGCTCTTTGTTAGCCATTATCTCTTGACTCTATTCCAATCTCTTATTTGTTCTGAAACTCCAATGAGAATGTTTTAGAACTCTCAGTCTTAACCTCTCACTTCTTTCTTTTTATTGCTGTCTATGCTAACTCACTTCTCTAACACTTTCTTCAGTTGCATCTAATCACACCTTACAGTGAGTTTTTATTTGGGATTCTTGAAGTTTTTATTTTTGGAAATTCTAGAATTTCATTGATTTTTAAATATTTTCTATAAATTTATCATTGCTTCTATATTTTTAAACTTAGTAAACACAACTATGTCATCATCTGTGCATAACTATGTGAAGCATTTTGAGGGTCTGTTTCTCCTTGTTTTACTTATGGTGTATGTTTTCCCTGTGTCTTTATTTTGAGCTTATTATTTTACACTTGAATATATTTATAGGATTACCTATAGACCTAGTAAGTTTTAGAGATGATTAAGGTTTACTTCTTCAAGTGGCCTAGAGCCTCTAGTAGTTCCTCCATCACCTTAAACAGATTTTATTTTGGATCATTCAGGTAATATAAATTTGAGTTGCAATTCAGTTTGATGGCTGATTTGTATGTACAACATCCTGGAAATAAGTATGTTAGTTTTATTCTTTCACCTTCCTCTATTGAGTACCAAGGCAATTTTTCTTACATTCTGTTATGACTTTGCAAGGAGAACGTGATAGTTGGCTGCTATTGGAGTCCCAGATTTATATAACAAATATACTTAAGCACTCTCCATCTTCGGCTAGCCACCCAAAGGATTAAGTATATACTTTTCAGTAAAAGTCCTAAATTCAAAGTATGTTTAGTACTCTGTCTACCTCTAGCTTTATATCTTCACTTACATTTGTCTCTAATAATTCTTATACTAACTTAGGGCACAGACTTAAAAACTCTGTAATTCCATGATTAACTATGAACTCTACTGTACAAGGTATGAAAACTTGGTTTCTAAGAGTTGGAGGGGACTTCACAGACTTTTAATGGAATGACCATTTTATATTTTTACATTTTATAGTACATTTTTGATGTTTCATGCATGCCATTTCTTAATTTTTCAAATAGGTCATAAAGTAACTCAAAGGTAGAAAGGTTTTCTCTTACATCTCTGTTCTCATCTGTAGACTCCTTGATGTCTAGCATTTACATATTTTGATTTACTGAAATTTGGCAGTCTTATTTTTCTAAAAATATATTTCTATCCCTTGAGAAGGTGAAAACATCAGAATAAATTTCAAAAGCCCTGAATGTGTCACAATTAGCTTTTAGGAAGTTTGCTTTAATTAGCAAAAATGCAAAGGTAACTTGACATTTACTTTAATCAGAGAAAATGGTACTCTTTTAAAGTTGGTTTTAAATTTTCCTCTAACACTTAGAAAGGGCCCATCTGAATATTTCAGGACTTCCACTTTTTGGGTGAAGCCTATGCTTACATTTATGTGTTTCTCCCCTAAGCAGCCCACTACAACCCTGCAATATAACCCAAACCACACTCACACATACATACACAAAAAAACACAAAACCAGGCTATTTTCTATTTAAAAACAAGAAAAGAATCCTATCTGGGTCAAATTTGTTATTTCAGGGAAAATGAAAATTTTCAAAATGTGAAAATGTACATGAAAATGTACAGCATAGGTAAACACACTGGAGTTTACAGACTTAAAATTTCAATGCCGGTTTTTGTGTCCCCTAAGATAAATGACTATTCTGCCTGTATTAGCAGGGAATTGTAACACCATGTGGTGCTTTAGGAATAATGAATAAAAATTGGAAAGTAATTTATGTTTGCAAGCATTATATGAATACTGAAATATATAGATAATCTGAAAAGAATATTTAGTACACATTTAATGATATACCCTAAATTTTTCTTCAGAATTTATGAATTTTGTCTTCTTGCCAAATAAAATATTATAAAAATTTCCACTGGATAAATGGTCCACTTCACAAGAGTCTTGTGGTAGGGAACATTTTTGGAAATTACCAGTTTGAATTGTATTGACTTTCAAAAGTTGGGAGAAAAATCTGACCTTTGAAGAACTAGAACTTATTCTAATAGAATATTTAGAGAGATGCTCCATGGAGTTCAGTAAAAATCAATACCAAACTCCATTGCAGTTCCTTTTTTCCCCAGTGCCAACTTATTCCTAATGTGAGAGAAAGATACAATAATCCAGTTATCCAATTACTACACTATTGAATTATCAAGAAACACTTCAAATCTCTTCTTCTTCTTTTCTTTTTAACCTTGCTTTAGAGCTTTTGAATCCACTAAGAGTACTAGTGATTCTTAATGCTTTATGGCAGAATCAAAGGATGAATCATCTTGGCTTCTTGGCAATGAAAGTAGCTGGTAAATTTAGTCTCTAAAAGAAGATTGTCTGTATTTTGTGAGAAGTAAAAGATGTCAGTTAAACCTATTTGAAACAAAATTTGATTAGATTTAAATTAACTTACGAGCTCTAATTGTCACATTTTAGTTAAATGTTTTATTTTATGTGTCCAATAAAAAGTAATAATAATAAAACATGCTCTGAAATCCCATAGCCACAACAAACATCTGATCCTCAGATAATGAATTAATGACGAGAATAATGCATAAAGTATGTAATGAAAATGTAGAAGTTGTATGTTTATTAGTATTTCATTTCTTTCATTCCCTTTTTTACATTTTTCATCCAGATCAGTCCAATAATCCCAAGATCCTGGGTCAGTGAAAGTCTGTCTTCATTTCCCACTTGAATTCAATAAATTGAATGTGTGTAGCCTTGTACAAATCATTGGGAGGGACTCCTAGGCAAATACTGTCCTTGAGGGACTCCAAGTCTAGTAGAGAGAGAGGGCATATGCAATGACTATCATATAAATAAAAAAGTCATAATGACTCTAAGAAAGGTTCTGTAAACATTCTGAGAATTTAGAGATGATGGCATGCTTCTAGGGTTTCCATAAAGGTGGTTTCAAACATTTAAAAAAAGAAAGATGTAGAATAGACTGCTTTCAAGTAGAATAAGGAACATGGAAACTTCACAGAACTGGACAAACACAGTTTGTAAAGGCCACACATGTCCTCTGGTTTGGGGTGAAGAATGGTGCCCAGTGAAAAATGGTGAACTATTAGGCTAAAAAGGGAAATTTCTCTTTGTTACTCTGAAAAGTTGATGAATGTTATTTCTCTTCTGTACTGTAAATTCCAGTTCTCATTTGTTTTAAGAAATAAAGCCTGTGGACTCCAACTCATTAGATGGCAATCATACTAGGTTTGCCCTTTTTGTTAAAGGACAGCTTCAATAGAAAATATAACTCATTATTTTTATATCTCAGTTTTCAAGACTTATTCAGTAAAAGTAGGGAAGAGCTTATTTTAGTATCAATCAAAATATTAAATAAAAATGGTCAGTATTGTAGAGCTCAGGAATTATACATGAGAAGACCATTGGGAAATGAAAGAACTATGAATATCTGCTGTAAAACTCAGGTTAGGCATTGGCATCAAAGAGGGGAAGATTTGTAATTGACTTTCTCAAGGCGATTATTCAGGGAAACCCTGTATTTGGGATATAATAATGTCAGGACTGGCCTGCTTTTAGTTTGCATCAACTTCAAACAGCCAGAGAAATCAGTGCCTATTATTTCCTCCCTGTGAATGCGTAATATTATATTGCATAAGTCTGCATTGCAAAGCACAAGGAGACAGTGTGAAGCTTGCCGGTAGGTAATTGCCAACAACTAACTTCACACTGTTATTGTGGGTATAACAGAAAAAAAGTTGGACTCGGAGTGAAGAAAAAAATAGATGTAAATGACAACTAAGTTTAAGTGTGGTTGGCAGGTCTATCACTAGATATGTGACCTTGAGCAAACTGTGAATCTACTGGGCTTCAATTTCCTCATTTCCCCAATTTCCTTTCAAATACGGATAATAATTTCTGCCATATCTATTTCAATATCATGAAGATCAAAAAAGATAATGGAGATAGAATGGTTTAAAAATTGTCAGTTGCTAGAATGAATAATTACGTTGCAGTTATTTCAATGATGTCTTGTATGTGAATTTGAAGGCCTCTTAAAATTTACCTTACTTGTATGATCATGATGTGGGCAACTTTCTGAAATTATCATTTTCCTACTGAAATGCATTATGATTATCAGTTGATCAATTTGACAAATATTTAAAATGTGCAGATTATATATGCCAAGCGCTATTCTAAACCCTTCAGATATTTTGATTTATCCCACCAGTTTTTCAACCATTTAGTTATACTTTAATGCACTAAGTATAACAATTAAGCTATATGAGAAAGGTATAGCATCTGTACAGGGCCAAGTGTAGATGTATTAGGGACAGAAAAAAAGATAAGAAGCAAATTTGAGCGAAAGAATAAAGATGATACAAGAGGAATGATGCAATAGTGTCCAGGTAAACAGGCTCTTCAAAAACAAAGGCCGGACTTGCAGTGTTTTCCAATTTCTTTCAATTCCCATGATATAAATATCCCCAGCAAGGCCTGTTTCAACTACCAAAATTTTGCTAACTCACTGGTGAAAGTCCTGAATATTTAACAATTGTCTCTCACTACTTGGTCTTTATTTTCATGGAATGTTCCTTCATGAACAAATATGTTCCATTGTATAAATTAAGAGCAGGGATAACTATTGCAAGAGATATTATAATAAAATGCTAGGAGAGTGTAGAACAGAGAGCCTTTAGTTATATTAATAATTGAGGTGTTCACAGGATAAGACAGATGGGAAGCCCAGGGTTGGCCTCTGTGCCTCCTCCTCAGCTTAATTTTCCTTCTTTATCTTTTAGAGCTCTCATTTCTTTTTTAATTTATTAATTTTCTAGACTTCTGATTTTGTTTTCTGTTTGTTTGTTTCCATCTCACAGACGTGACCCCCTTGAGATCAATGACTACAAGAGCACATGGTAAGGCAAGGTAGAAGAGTATCCAACAGGTCTTTGATAAACAAAGTGTTTTAATTAACTTTTCATTTGACAAGGTTCACTGTAAATTTCTTCCAAATATACCAACCAGTATTCACTGAAGTAAAATTTCCCTGAAATTAAGCATCTCTGGGCTGTTATATGGTGCTGTGCTCTTCCATGCTAAAATGCAAGAAAAGAGCCACCATTCTGGCCAGTTCGTACAAAATACTTCATACAAAGGTTTCACTAAATTCCCATCCATCAACACTAAATACTGGGTATAGGATAGTGTTCTTAGAACTACTTAAATCTCTTAATAAGAGTTCAAAACATATTACTTTTGTTTCCTATGTTAGAATGCCTTGTCAATATATACCTGTTCTAATGTATTCAATACTTATAAATGAAGTAAAATACATATGTCACTGATCTTTTAGCACTGAGAAAATTGTCTCCTTTGCTCCTCTTTTGCCTTACCCTGTTCTGAATAACAAAAGTGTATGTGCTAAAATCAATACTTTTAGTTCTGAAGGCTGATCCCAATTAGAATGCTTTTCATTTTAAATCTGGCCAATAAATAGAAAGGAGGAGAAAATACAAAGAAATTTTAATTTTAAAATCTGCCATTTTAAAGCATCAACAATGCAGTAAATTCTCTTCTGGGCAAATTCTGGGCAAATTCTCTTCACACTTTCATACCAAATATTTTGTGTAAGGCCTTTGGAAAACTTCCAGCCCATCTGTTTCTACTCAGATGTTATCAGCCATGATTTCCCATAAAATTTATTACAAGCTTGACTGTCTATCTGAAAGGAGCACATTTGACGTAAATACCACATAATATAGAAGTTAATGACTTCAATTGTCTTTATACTTAATTAAAATGATTTAATGACTCATTTATTGATACAAGCAACATCTTGATATGTTTGTCTTTGTTTTGTAGGATTTTTTATTAGGTATTAGAAACCTGGACTCTTGAAACTTAGACTATTTCAGAAAATAACCTCATATTTTGGTATGATTAGATGAGCAATATTGACCCTGTTAGCCTGATACCTGGATTCTTCAATTCTTGGCCAGAAATCACACAGTTTATCTAACTAGGACTGAACACCACTTGAAATTCAATAAAAGTTGCAATGAAGATAGCAAAGTAAAAATTTTCATAATCTCTCTCTAATTAATCTGGTCTCTCCATTTTTCCTATCCGTTCTCAGATTTAAACTTCAATTGCTTCTCATGACAATGATTGAGATTACCTCCTAAGTAGAATGATTCTCTGTCTCCATATTCTCTCTCTTTCAACCCACACAACATCTCCCTGCTAGGATCATCATTCTAAAACACAGCCCTTGGTAATGTTTTTCCAGGTACAAATGGCTTTAAACTCTTCCATTTGCCAATATAACAAGGTTCCATCTCTCTGACCTGATTTTAACATTACTGCTTTATAACAAACTGACTGGATCATTTACAATTTTGTAAACATCTCCTTTACTTAAGTGTTTTTATGCTTTCCCTTAAGTAGAAATGCTTACAAATTGTTTCCCTTATCTCCTCAACCCCTCCATTTTTATACAGTGAAACCCTACCTAATTATCAAATGATTATTCAAGTACCACTTCTTTGAGACAGTCCCTCCTGCCCCAACCCAAGGGAGACCTCACCTCGTGCATTTCAACAGAAGATTCCCCCAACACCCGCATCAGGGCTTTTACTTCCCCTCATCATTGGGGTATAGGAGAGTAAGCTTAGCAGTATAGCTCCACCCAACTCTTTCTGGGGCTCCAGGGCTAAGCAGGAAACACAGGATGTCAGATACTCCACAGACCACCCACCACCACCTGAGCAAACTGAGACCAAGCACTCACCCACTGACTTCTGCAACAGCTGCCTCTTACACATAAGTGCTGCCTACTGGCCGGTTGGTTGGACTGCAGCCCAATACACCACCAACAACAACAGCATCTGAGAAAGCCTCTGTACAAAAGCTATCTATAACCAAGAAACATGTACAGAGCCTTGGCCCCAGGAAAATACCAAAATTCAAAACTAAAATAACAACACAACAAGCATTACAAGTACACCCTTAAGGGAGAAAAATAAATAAAAAAGTACATCTCATCCAAATAAAAGTAAATTCAAAAATAAGAAGTGATGATTTCTCCAGATAAGAACTCCAGCAGTATGAAAAAAACATGCTGTTTTGACATCCCCAAAGGATCACACTAGCTCTCTAGCAATGATAACAAGCAAAAGGAACATTCTGAAATGACAGATAAATAATACAAAATATGGATTGTAACAAAGCTCAATGAGCTCCAAGAGCAAGTTGAAAATCAGCAAAAAGAAACAAAAAATTTAATTCTGGACATGAATGAAACATTTACTAAAGACATAGATAGATTTTTTTTTAAAAAACTAAACTTCTGGAAATAAAAAACTCATTGATAGAATTATAAAAAGCAGTTGAAAGCTCAAATAATAGAATAAACCAAGCCAAAGAAAGAAGTTTAGAGTTTGAATAGATCTTTCTAATTAAGCCAGTCAGGCAAATATAAAGAAAAAAGAATTATGAAAAAAGAACAAAGTTTTCAAGAAATATGGGATTGTGCAAAACATCCAAGCCTCTGAGTAATAGGTATTCTTGAGGAGGAAGAAAACTTAAAAATTATTTCAGTGAATAATTGAGGAAAACTTCTCTAGTCTTGAAAGAGGCTAAGACATCCAGATAGAAGAGGCTCAGCAAACATGAGGCAGATGCACTGTAGGAAGGTCTACACCAAAGCATATAGTCATTAGACTATGTAAAATCAACGTGAATTTAAAACATTTAAAAGCAGCAGTATAAAAACATCTAATTATCTATAAAGGAAAGCCCATCAGACTAACAATAGGCTTCTCAGCAGAGTCATACAAACCAGGGGAGATTAGGGGCCTGTCTTATTGCTAATATTTTCAAAGGAAAGAATTTCAGTCACAAATTTTGCATTCTGCTAAACCAAGCTTCATAAGTGAAGGATTAACGATGTCTTTCACAGGCATACAAATGCTCAGAGTATTTGTCACCATTAAACCAGCCATACAAGAGATGGTCAAGAGTTTTACACATGGAAAGAAAGGTAGGTACTTGCCATTATAAAAAAAAAATGAAGCCATAAAACTTACAAGTCATATAAAAATTTCACAATTGATAATACAAAGGAAATATATATATACACACACACATACATACATACATTCCATGAAATACTACTCAGGCAAAAAACACAATGAATCAATGTCTTTTGTAAAAATTTGGAAGGAACTTGAGGCCATTATACTAAGTGAAGGAACTCAGGAACAGAAAATCAAATACTTCATGTTTTCATTTATAAGTGGAGCTAAACTATGGGTATACATAGTCATACAGAGTGGAATAATATATATTGAAGACTCTAAAGGTTAGAGGGTAAGGGATGGTAAGGGATAAAAAAAGTATCTATTGTATACAATGTACACTATTCAGGTGAAGGGTACACTAAAAGCCTAGACCTCACTGCTATACAATTTATCCATTTAACAAAATTGTACTTGTACTCCCTAAATATATTGACATTTTTTTAAAAAGGAGGATCAGTGAACTTAAATATAAAAGAAATTGAAATTATCTACTCTGAGAAGAATAAAGAATAAAGAAAAGTGAACAGAGCATAAGAGACCTGTGGAACATCATCATGCTCATCATGCATATTATAACATATGCATAATGGAAGAAAGAAGAAAAGGGATAGAAATTGGCCAAAAAAAATTTGAAAGAATAATGGCTGAAAACTCCCAAAATTAGATGAAAGGCATAAATCTACACATCCAAGATCTCAAAAAACTTCAAATATGTTAAACTCAAAGATGCCCACAGCAAGACACATTATAATCAAACTGTCAAAAGACAAATACAAAGATTCTTGAAAGCATCAAGAGAGAAGACATACATTACATACAGTAAGATTCAATAAGATTAACAGCAGATTTTTCATCAGAAACCATGGAGGCCAGAAGGCATCTTAAAGATGTTGATCCCTCCATTTCATGAACATGGTATAGATCTCTGATTATTTAGCTCATTTCTTTCAGAAATACATATATTTTAAGTGTATAGATATTTCACATCTGATGTCAGATTTAGTTTTGCCTTAGTATTTCATGTTCTTGTACTATTGTATATAACATTTTAAATTGAATTCAAATTAAATAATAAAATTTATAATTTAATATTATTTAATAAGATTTAAATAGTAAAAATATCTTTATATTTACTCATGTGGTTATAATCCAGTGTTTTTCATTCAATTGTCTAGATCTGGGTTTTCATCTGATATCTTTTTCCTATTGCCTGACTAACTTTCTTTAACATTTCTTATAGTATGACTCTACTAACCATAAATTCACTCAGCTTCTGTATGCTTGAAATTGTTTTACTCAATTTTTTTCTGAAAGATATTTTCATCTGGTAAAAATTTTAGGTTAAAAGTTTTTTTGTTTCAGTACTTAGGAGATAATTGCTTCATTATCTTCTAGCTTTCATTGTTTCTGATAATAAATATACTGTCTTCTTTATCTTTGTTCCTATGTACCAGGTGTCAACAAATATATTCTGTGGTTTTGTATATAAACTTTTATTGGAACACAGTCACACCCATTCATTTACATATTCTCTCTGGTTACTTTTGTGCTATAGTGGCAGAGTTGAGCAGTTTTGACAGCGACTGTTTGACCTGCAAGACTGAGAATATTTGCCATCCGGCTTTTTACAGGAAAAAAAAAAATGTTGACGTCTCTGTATTCAATGTGCTTTTCTCTCTTGCTGTTTTGATGTTTGTTCCTTAACACTTATTTTAAGCAATATTATTTCACAAAACTTGGTATAGTTTTCTTCATGTTTTTTAAGAAGCTTAGACTTATTAAACTTCCTCAATGTGTGGTTTTATAAGTTTTAATAAATTTGAAATATTTTCAGC